GTCGATGTCACTAAAATGATTCATATCACTGCGACTCTCTTTTATAAACCACGCTAGAGCTTAGCTAAGCTCATCGGTTTGTTATCTTTAGTCAAACCGCAAATTTACAGCCGATATATTATTAAGACGGTCCTTAATATATTTAACGACCGTAAGGACCGTTTAAGGAAATAATAAGACATTTTCTAAACGCAAATTAATAAAAATGACAGGCAGAAAATCCAAAATAAAAATATCTGTGGATCTAACATAACAATAATAATAAGTTTTTATAATTAAAAAGTTATTGAGCAACGAATCTCATTATCAATCTCAAACAACTTGATTTTTCCAATTATATTATTATTATTATGTTATATGGGTTTGATTTTATGGTTTTTGTATTTATCTTTACTTCTAACATAAGAAAAGATATAAGGGCGCTTATTTAAGCTTCTAGATCTGTTATCTACTACCTGTTTTTAATGTTTCTATGCATGATACATTTTCTATTTGCTTCAATAAAATTAAAAAAAAAATTAATGTCTTGTTCATATAATATATAGATAAATCATAATAATACCTATTTTTATCATTTCCTTTAGTAATAAATCAGACACTTTAGTTTATTTGCTAATTTTATGGGTTGAAAATCACACGAAGAATTAAAGTCAATTTGAAGCACTTTTCATAATTTATCTTGGCAAGTTTATGGCACCTTTTGAGGAATTTATTTCCTCCATACAAACACATCAGTTTCTTGACAAAGATAATAAAAGTTGTTTTTTCTAAGAAACTCAATATTTCGCTATTTATTTGATATCTTCATGAGGAGTACACTGTAAAACAATTTGAACATAACAAATAATGACTTAAGAATAGATTTAAAAACACTCACAGAAATTAAAAGATTTCACAAATAAAAACTGACATTAAGGTATGTAAAATATTGAATGTCAAGATTAAATTTTCTTAAGCACATTCGTTACAGCAATTCGATAAAAAAAAAATAAATTTACTTCAAATTTAAAAATAAAAATAACAATAAAAGAAACATTAGAATTGAATTATTAAAGTTAGTTGTTATTAAGGTGAATGCTGGCTACTTTGAAGATTTATAAATTTTGTTCAATATATTACAATATATGTTACTTAATTGTCCAGTGTCCGTTTTATAACTTAGAGTGTTTTTATTTTTGTTAATGTGATACATCTCAAGAAATAATCTACTTTTGTAGTTGTACCAAAATGTAAGCATTGTCGGTGCCAAAATGTAAGCTCTGTTATATTCTAGCTCATAGTGCTCAACTTCTGAGTATTTTTCCCAAGCGGCAATCACTTTTATGTTGTGTGATGCGTTGTTTTAGCCATTGTGATGTTTGGTCAATGTAGCTATTTTGACATCCTAGACACGGTATTTCGTAAACAACATTACTTTTATATAAGGTTAGTACTGGGTCGTTGCAGTTATATATTGAGTTTCTTAGAAAAAATAAAGATTTAAATTAGAGACCACTTTACCTGATAGTTCCAACGTATATATATATATATATATATATATATATATATATATATATATATATATATATATATATATATATACTATTATATTATATATACTAATTTTGATTAAAAAACCACACGGCCTCAAAGACAAGCAATAGATAAACTGGCTTTATGATAGATACTTTTAACTATTTTGTGGACAACTGCAAGACACATTACAGCCTTGGACAAAACACAACAAGTGATAAAATGCTGCTAGGATTCCAAGGACGCTGCGGATTTAGACAGTATATATCATTCAAACCGAGCAAGTATGGAAGCAAAATATTTTCTTTATATAATACAAAACTTTTATATAGCTATAATATAAAAATTTATTGCTGGCAATAATCGGAAGGACCTTACAGGCAGAGTAATTCTGCACATACAATTGTGTCATGACACTGAAGAACTTAAAAACAGATACGACACGTTTAACATGCATAAAAAAAATAAAGAAGCGGCTGGTATCTTCAATAAGAAACAAACTGCATTGCTACAAGATGAACATGGTAAAGTAATATTTATAGTAGGGGACAATCTTAAAGAATGGAAAAATTACGTCACGAACCTATTCGAAGACGATAGGAGTAGTTCACCTCCCGACATGACTAACTGCGATGGACCCCTAATAATACGCTCTGAGGTTATAAAAGCAATACAATCATCAAAAGATGGCAGAGCGACTGGTCCTGATAAAATTTTAACTGAAATATACAAGCTTATAAACCATAGCAATGTTTTAGAGGCTACAACTTCGTTTTTCGATACCATTTATACCAGCGGACAACTACCTAACGGTTTGTCTAATTCACTGTTTATAGCTCTACCTAAGAAGACAACAGCAAAAACCTGTGCTGATTATAGAACCATCAGTTTTTTAACCACTTATTGAAAATTTTGCTGAAGATAATACATGGTCGTATCTACAATAAATGCGAGAAATACCTGGATAATACTCAGTTTATCAATATAAGGTTGAATGTTCGAATAATTAAACTTTGACGGTATACAAGGCAACTATCGAACACGGTGATTAATTTAATTTTGCCCAAGTACTTTCGATCAATAGATCATCTTCAGACTGATTCTGTCCCCGGCTTCTATACAACATGTAGCTTCTCCTTTTTTAAAAAAAAGTTTTATAGTGTTTGTTTGTCTTTGTGTATTGTATTTTGTATTGTTATGCCCAAATTTACATTTATGACATTCTACTCATGTCGGATGTTTGGAATGAACGCACTTGCTCAAAAATGTCGAGATATATCTGTAGACATATACTGTTGTTTTATTGACTTTCACAAGGCATTTGCTCCTGTTAAGCACTATATATTGATCGAAGCTCTAGAAGACATTGGCTTGGACTGCAGAGATGTTCGAATAATTGCAAATTTATATTGGAATCAAACAACATCAGTTTTAGTAGATGGTGTGGATTCACAATGTGTGGTGTAAGTAAAATAAGAATTGCCATGTTGATATCCAACCTTCGTTAGAAGATGGAACCTTAAGAAGAAGAAGTGGATTCACAGACTTTCAATATTAAAAGAGGAGTACGACAGGTATGCCTTTTGTCACCCCTGCTTTTCAACGTTTACTCTGAAAGAATTTTCAGAAAAGTAGTTTGTAGAAATCTGAAAAAGAAGAGAAAATGAAAGGGAGGAAAGAAAAGAAAACATTATGTACATTGTTGCAAAGAAACGCAGAAGTACGAGACTCAATATTCTTGTTAAAAGTGTAGCAAATTTTATGTTTGAATATACCATATCTATGTTATTTTTTGTTTCATTAATGAATGTATTTTTATTATTTCTATAAATAGTTGTTTTTTTTTTGTTTGTCTCCATATGTGGAGAATATTACGCGTTTAAAATGTGTTTGGTTATTTAGTTCGTTATTAAATATATTTATTGATGTTTCATTATTAAAATAAAAACGAGAATATTTTAACAACCCCCTATAAGTGATACCCAATGTGGTAAGCAAATTATATCGTTACAACAAAATGGCAGTTAAACTAAAGAATAAATCGGTTTCTAATAATAAAGAAATTTTTTATTTATGTAAATACTTATCAATGAGTAGGTTCCGGTGATAAACAACTTTGGGTTAAATGTATTCTGTAATATTGTTTCTAATAAAACAAGATTCAGCTTATGAATGAGAAATAATCAATGCGTTTCTAACATTAAAGTTCAGACATTCATCAAGTCTAAAAGCAACGGTATATCAATTTGTTTATGCGTTTTTTAAAGTGATTTTTGCAATATAAAAGAAAAATGAAATTGCACATTTCAAAACCACTTGACATAAGTTTTTATCTGATTATCTCAGTTTTATTTAAATTTGATGTCTCACCTATTGAAAAATTGCCTCGACAAACGCTAAAAATGACTTTTTGCTGCAATTTTCATTGTTTATTTGCATTTTATGCTTAACGTAAATATTTTCGAATACATTAAAAGAAAATTTTTCATCTTAAGATAACCTAAATTATTAAAATAATGGTTTTGAAGCGAGAAAACTATTTTTTTTTTATAATTTGTTTAAACATTGTTATAAATAAAAAGGTGATTATGAAAAAATTTTGTATATTTTAAATAGCATGTTCGCATCATAATCTATTGATTAAAATAAATTTTAACTTGTGAGTATAAAATTGGCCTTTTTTGACAAATACCCTTATAGATACCTGAAAAAATCCATATCCTGTGGAACAAATCCCTTATTTTTGCTTATCTGTTTCTGTTATATTAAAAAAGTAAATTTAATTTTTTTGATAAACGCATATAGATAAGTTACTTTTTTAAGAAACTGTATCTGTTCACTGTATCATCATTTAAACATTTTTACTTCTCATAAACAATTAACTAGAATCGCAAATGATGATGGCATTAAATCCATCATCTCCGCATTCCCTTACGCACCAATTACTGTCGATACAAACTGATAATACCCCTTTAACTGTTACAGAGTGATTCGGGAGGACCACTAGAACTAAACGGGACATTAATTGGCATTGTATCCTGGGACGTGGCTGCGGAGAAGCCGATTATCCTGGAGTTTATACCCATGTTGCACGTTTCAGATCATGGATAAAACAACATTCTGGCGTCTAGTGCTTGTCGAAGTATTATCTTCGGATAAATTTGTTATTCGTATTTGCAGTTCTGCTTTAAGTTAAAATGTCTTAAATCATTAAATGTAAATAAAGCTTAAATTATACTTTGCATAATTTATTAGTATTTTGTTTTAACTCAGCTGTTGTTCCTATCTGAGAATTTTTTGCCCTAAGTAAGATACTAATAAAAGTTTATAAAAACAATATAAACATATACTTATACATGGTAATTTAAAAAAGTGACACGGTCTCTAGGATAGGTAAAAAACTGAAAAAATAATTGGGAATGGCTGAATAAAAAATTGTTGTAACTTCTTCTTAGAGTGCCGTCTCCCTACGGATGCTCTTAGCAATAAACTTAATGCTCTAAACAAATTAATCGATCTGCATTGCTACCAATCACGTAAATTCTTTAACCGTAAGTTCTGCCTTCGGCCAACACATCTTGTTCCTTGAATTTTTCCCTGTATTATGAGTCTCAAAATTTCATATTTTGGTCCTCTCATCACGTGGCCTAGGTATTCTAGTTTTCTGGTTTGTATAGTGGTGATTAGTTCTGTTTTTTTTACCAACCCTCTCCAGTACTTCTTTATTTGTAATTCTATCTGTCTATGATATTTTTAATACTCTACGGTATAACCAGAGTTTGAAAGCCTCGATTCTTTTTAAATTGCATTTTTTTAATGTTCAAGTCTCAGCTCCATATAATAATATTGAAAATATATACAGTGCGTTAAGTTTTTGATTAGGTATTGCACACTATACGGAGCGCTAAAATCGGCAACGTTGCAAATGTTCGTTCTCCGACCCGAGACTATCTGCACCGACAGAAAATCATTTTAGTTTAGTAACTCACAACAACGTTTGGGATGTACTTCTCTATCGTCCGATCTCATGTTTCATTACGTATAGCCGATTTTAATAGTAGGAAATTCGATAAAAATGCACTAACCTAATCGGTGCATTGTTATCGATTTTTATTATTGTGAAAATGTTTTTGTGGTTGAATTAAAAATAAAAGCGTATTTCTTTAAAAAGATAAAATAAAAAATATACTCTTATTGAAAATTAAAATATTATTACTTATAAAATAAAAAATAATTCTTTATGACCTATAGAAATGGTTCAAATAGTTGACCTTCTACGGCTGAACAGTACCCCAATCTGTCATAAAAACTTCTGCGAACAGATAAAAGAGTTTCTGCTGTAACAGAATTGGAGACTTCTCTTATTCGATTTTTTAATTCATCCATAACTCGATTCGGGAAAATATTGTTTAAATACTCTCTAATAATTCGAGCGTTGTGAACTGAACAGCCGTCTTGATGAAATCAAACATTCTCCAGATTTACATCAGGAAGATTGAGAACAGCGGAAAGAACATGATTCTGTAACAAATCGAGGTATACTCTACTAACTATTCAAGTTGCCCTCAATAAAAAATGGACCTATTATGTGGTCTCCTAAAATGCCAGTCCAGACGTTAACTTTTTGAGGACGTTGAGTTCGGTAAACAACACTTCTGTGCTAGTTTTCCCGCGCCCAATACCTCGTAATGGACGGATTGTGTCTCCCTACTAACGAAACAGAAGATTCATCAGTGAATAAAATGTTTTTAATAAAATTTGGTTCATTATTAGCCTTCTTTATTAGATAATTGATGGATTCTACCGTTGATGAAAATTCATTTTATGTAACAATAAAACACTTACAGGCCTTAAGCTATCTTTGTTAGAATCTATAGAAATCAACAAATTAAAAAACACAGATATAATTCTAAATGACCAACTTGAGACAAACAGTTCTCCCCTCCTCAACCTATTTCATTAGAGACTATAAATTTGTAAACCCAAGCCAAAATAGATCACTTGAGAAAGGCAATCAGCCGAAACAGCTGTAGTGATAATATTTAAAATAAATTTTGTGGAAGTTTGAAAACAAAGTTTTCAGTTAATTACTATTTATAACTGGGAATAAGCCACAATTAAAGATAAAAAATACGTTTATTATTTATAAATAGAGAATTTGATAGATCTCAAATATGTAAACACGCATGTAGTAATGTAGTAGGATCTGGTTACCAATATTGAAAGAGGAAGTTATTAATAAGAAAATACCAGTATTAGTAAGTCAGTAACATATAGAGGATACATCATTTATGTTTTTTAAATAACGTAACATATAAAATCAGAATTTTGATGTTTGTTGAAGGTAAACTAAATTCACGAACAAATACTTACAATGTCGGTATTATGAGGTTTTTTTCCTGGTTTTTCCCTCATAATTTACTATGGAATCACTAACAGGAGAATTTTACTGTCATCATGTCATGTGTTTGTCTTTTTAAAGACGAATTACATGCTATGATTTTTTCTGACGGATATTCTCAAGTTAAAGTTGATTTCATGTAATCGAATGAACTATCTTATAGTAAAGTCGTCCCAGGAGCGCAACTCAACAATATTGGCAATATCATTTTAAAGTCGTCTACTTTAAAATGCATAATGTATGTCTGAATTGTCAATATAAATGAGTCAGATAAAATTAAATTATTAGAAGAATTTTTTCACTATGTAACAAAAAACAAAAATTTGTTTAATTTACTGTTTGTATTTGAGAACGATTTCCGAATTGGAAATTGAAACGTCAATAAACGTATTTTTTATCTTTAATTGTGGCTTATTCCCAGTTATAAATAGTAATTAATTTACAATGCCACAAGAAAATAGCTTCAGAACAATATTAAGAAAGTTTTCAGTGTTTTATATTTTATTAGAGTTTCACAAAACTCCATTCTTCGAAAGTAATCGTCTGGATAAAGCTGCTGCGTTTTCGAATAGTTAAAATTCTTGTAACCGTGCTTTTTCCATACTTTCGTTACAGTAACATTGCTAACATCTAACTCTCTAGCAACGCTTCTACTTGAACGTGTTGAATCTACCTCGATTGTTTCACAAATTTGTGTATCCCGGTATTCTCTTTTCTCAACTTTTTCTGGTAACACTTCTTGAGCGTCACATTTTCTGCAATTTTTGAGGCAATAACAACTCTCAAAATTTTTAACAATATTATAAGTTGACTGTACACAAGGAATTGGTCTTCCCTAAAAAAACATAGAAAATAAATTTACACGCTGTTGCGCAGAATTGCCACTATAAAACCATTTTATTATTTGAGCTTTTTCCGCGGCCATATAAACCGACATGTTTACAAAAATAAATTAAAACTCTACGCTGTTAGACCTTTAAACAACCACGGTATAATGATAATATGACAAATTTGCCGACGGGCGACAAGCAAAGACGAGTCAACGAAGAATATGACGTAGTGGCAAGTCGACGACGTGCAGTGTTGCCATTTATAGAGTGTATACCTAATCCAAAACTTAACGCACTGTATCAGCAAATGGTACGTAGTCCGATCTCAAAATTTAAATTTTTGCACGTTAGGAGTGTTCTATAATTGAGGAGCTTGGTATCAAACACGGACAACTCCATTTTTTTTTAAATTGAGTTAATGGTATAGTCTTATAGGATTTTTCACAAGGAATTCAAATCTGAATTGCTTTAATTTCAAAAGCGGCTAGAACATGCAAGAAATTGCATTTTAAAACGATCATCAGTTTCAGAAAAGTAACAGCTCCAACTTGATTTCGTAGCAGAATCGGACTACTCCGTTACAGCCAATCGAAAGGTAGTATTTCCGTCAAGTGGCCTTGCGCACTAGAACAAACCTACTGAGAGTGGCCATTGCGTTTCAAGTTTACAACAGTTTACGACGTTATTTCAACCGTTTTCGTGTTTTTTTAATATTATTTGCGCTATTTTTCCGAAAAATGCAGGTGAACGTAGTTGAAGCACCTAAAAATGAAGCCAGGAAGAGATTAGTCGACAAAAATAATTGGAAACGGGAACAGGATAAGATTAAAAGGTAAGTTAAGACGACGGTACGTCGTCTGTGTATACCAATTTACGTCTTGCCATGGTTTATTATGTTATCTACGAACACCGTTTTTGGTTTTTAAATTACAAATGTATAAATTTTAATTTTTATTCTGGCGAAGATTAAACGTGTGGTTTTCTGCTTGTTTCAGATATTCTGCGAAATCATTACCAACTTATCCGACTTGTAAGCATAAAAGTAATAAAAAAGGTTGCCAATTGCTAACTATGAAAGATGTTGCGCGATTCCATTCAGCTTTTTACAACTCCAAGGAGAAGACAAAGCAAGATAGTTTTCTTCTCAAATATTGCAAGGAATCTGCCCCAACAAGAATGCGAAATAAGAAAGGTGGACCTTCCAAAACAGCCATCTACCATTATTTTGTGTTAAATGAAGCCCAAGTTCAAATAGAGGTTTGTAGAAATGCCTTTTGCAGATTTTAGGGATCACAAAGCATCGAATAATAGGTGTATTCCAGCGTTTTAAGAAAGATGGTTCTCTGGTGCCCCAGGAAACTCGTGCCGGCAATAGGAAACAGGCAGCGTTTGCAGAAAAACAAGCATCTGTTATTAAATTTATTAAAAAATTTAAGGGAATTGAGTCTCATTATAGTAGAGGTAAAAGCAAGAGAATATACCTTAGTTCTGATTTGAACATCAGCAAAATGTATGCTATGTATGATCAAAACACAGACGAGTATTGTTTAAAGGTAAAAGAATCTTACTTTAGACACATTTTTAACACCCGTTTCAATCTCAGTTTTACGTCACCTCTTACAGATGTTTGCTCAACCTGCCTTGAGTTTGAAGAGAGACTAAAACAAGCTGCAGAAAAAAAGAACATTGATCTAATTAATTCATGGGAAACCAAAAAGAATCTTCATAAGATGCAGGCTCGAGCATTTTTTGACCATTTACGGGAGCAAAGAAATGGACTCTTGACAATCTCTTTCGACATGCAAAAAAATTTGCCACTTCCAAGAGTTCCTGACCAAATGGCATATTACAGTCGACAGCTGTACTGCTATAATCTTGCTGTCATTTCTGGTAATTCATCAACTTCACTGAATCCAGACTCCGTCTCAATTTATACATGGTGTGAAAGTGATATGCAAAAATCGTCCAACCAAGTTGCCTCTGCGGTTTTTAACGAGCTCTGTGAAAAAACTAGAAATGGAGATCTTGCAGAAATTAATGTGGTACGATTGGTTGCTGATGGTTGTGCGGGCCAAAATAAAAATATGAATGTACTAGCAATGTGCGCGTTTTGGTTAATTAACTATGCTCCTAATAATGTAGAATATGTAGAACTAGTATTTCCGGTAACTGGCCACTCTTTTCTTCCAGCGGACAGAGTTTTCGGTATGCTAGAGAAAGAGTTTAAAAAACTGACAACGATAATTGAAGTGTCAGAATACTTAGAGGTGTTTTCCAAATATGGTAAAGTAAAAAAAACTGGGTGAAAATTGGACTGCGCTAAATTGGAAAGATGAAGCTAAAAAACTTTTAAAAACTGCACAGGGTGTTCACTTTGCCGTTTACAAGTGCAAACGTTTCCGTTTTGTTCGCAATAAAGCTAAAAATAACGTGTTGGTTGCAGGAGAGCTGGCATACAATTCCGACACTGGCAAGCTGTTGTCGATCACAAAAAAAGGAAAAGTTATTTCTCAACTTAATCCAGCGCCAATTACTCTGGGGTGTTCAGTAAATCCGAAAAAACTAGCTGATGTAAATACTCTTCTCACAAAACATTTTGGAAGTAATTGGGAAGAATTGGAACGTTTGCGTCGGTATTCTGATGTTACCAGTAGTACATCTATCACCGAACCAAATGAAGCAACTGCTGAAATAGATGCTATCAATCAAGAAGAGGATGAATTTGGTGAATCCTGCGAATGTAAGGACCTGCTGGATGATACTCAGTACGACTTAGTCCTTAATGTATTGTAATGATTTTTTTAATCTGAGCAATAAAATTTTCTTAATGTATTTTAATTTTTTAAATAAAGATTTATGATGGAGCGTATTTTGTTGTTCACTAGTCTAAATTAATTACTTTAATAGAAATAATAGTAGAAGCTTTCCGATGGATTGTTCCGAATTTGAAGGTATTTATTTATTTAGGAATAGTTTCAAAATCGGACAACTCCAATTGGATTCAAAAACGGACAGCTCCAGAGCTTGGTTGCAATATCGGCCAACTCCATTTTCTTTATTGATTTTAGGGACTAAAACAGATATATATTTACATTGTCGATATTCAAAAGTATTAAGAGACGCTACAAGTATATCCATAAAAAAAATCACAATTGGATGTAGAGAATATAACGCGCTACAGTTTTTCAGATTTCCTGAAAAAAGTACAAAATGGAGTAGTCCGTCTTTGATACTCAGCTCCTCAATTATTCTATCACGTTACCACTGATTGTCAATAGGTGATGAACCTTGAATTTACTCAGGTAGCGCTCTTGGTTGCTTGCCTAAGTAAATGTAAATGTTGTAAATTTTCAAATTATCCAGGTATTTTGTTTCCACGTCTTCTTCTTCTTTAAGTGCCTATCCTATCGGAGATTGGATATTATTATGACAATTCATGTCTCATCCAAGACATTCTTCTACGGCCCTGATTTTTGCGTCCTTGGATTTTTCCCTGCATTATATTTTGGTTTGGTTTTCACGTCTGCTGGTGCCCAAATCCTAACACCCTACTTTGCACGCTTTAAGCTCATGTTCTGTTTGAATGAGCACATAGGGAACAAACGCCTGTTTACAATTTATATCAAAAAGGTCCTATATATGCCCTAAATACAGAAAACTTGTCTGTTTCAGGCCTTTTTTGTCTTGTCAATTCATCATCAAATCGGATAAAATTGCTGACTTGAGTAAATCTGTCACGAGGCATTGATGTTGAGAATATGTTAGGATGAATTAATTAAGCAATTAAATTGTAAAGCAGAAAGTCACGGCGAAATGATATCTAGGAAAGAGCGGGCTAGAACTGCTTTTAGAAGGATGTCCAAGGTCTTATGTAACAGAGACCTAAAATTGTCATTGAGGATTCGCCTACTTCGCTGCTACGTGTTCTCGGTTTTACTTTATGATGTCGAGTCCTGGACTGTAAATAAAATCGAACTAGTCGCCTTAAGGCTTTCGAAATGTGGTGCTATAGAATAATTTTAAGAGTTTCCTGGGTGGAGAAGATTCGAAACTTTACAATACTATTTAGAACGCCTCAGCAAGACTACTGAGATCATAAAAAGCATTAAGCAGAGAAAGCTGGAGTATTTCGGACATGTAATAAGAAATCCCAAATATAGGTCGCTACAAAATATCAAGCAAGAAAAAATAGCAGGCAAACGCAGTCCAGGGCGAAGAAAAACCTCATGGTTGAAAAACTTGCGAGATTGGTATGGTGTTGATACAAGCATGCTGGTTAGGGTGGCAGTGAATAAAATTAAGATAGCTATGATAGTAACCAACGTTCTGAAAAAATGTGGTACATGAAGAAGAAGAAAAATTAACTAACCTAAGAACTTCAGATTCCAAGCGTCATAGCTCCTGTTGTAATCAAAATTCCAATAAATGTATCGGGATCTTATATTATTAATATTATTCCATATGTTCTTCATATAGGCCTATTTCACTGTTACCTGTCATGTCTAAATAATACGAAAAATTACTTTTGAAGAGACTAAAACCGATTATAGAGGAAAACAATCTAATTCAAGTTTGGGTTTAGAGCAAGCCACTCAACGATAGATCAGGTACATAGAATAACAGATATCATAGAAAAAGCCCTAGAAGAAGGAAAATTTTGTTCCGCAATTTTCGATGTAGCGCAGGCTTTTGACAAGGTGTGGCATGACGGACTATATCATAAAAGGAGATGCTACTTACCAAAACAATATTATGAACTACTAGAATCATATGTATCCGACAGATACTTCCGAGATAAATATAAGGAAGCATATTCAGAGTTAAGAGAAGTTACATCTGGAGTTTCACAAGGAAGTGTCCTGGGGCCAGTGCTATACCTGCTCCATACCAGCGATATTCCATCATTAGAACCTAACACAATTGCGACATTTGCAGACGACACATGCATTCTAGCAGTCGGACAAAACCACGAGGATGCAGCTAGCATGCTACAGAACTCTGTTGAACAAATTAACATCTGGACCAGCCGATGGCGTATCAAATTGAATGAAACAAAATCTGTTCATGTCAATTTTACTAACAAAAAAAACAACATATCCCAGTACATATAAATAGAAACCAAATACCTTATGCAAATACGGCAAAATGTTTGGGTATGACGTTAGATTCCAAGCTACGTTGGAAAGCACATGTTAAAAAAAAGGAGGAATTAAAAATTAAGTTCAGAAAGGTGTACTGGTTGATGGGAAAAAAATCCACTCTGTCTATTTACAACAAATTGCTATTATATAAGCAAGTCCCTAAACCGATATGGACATACGGAATACAGCTATGGGGCTGTACAAAAGAAAGCAACATCCAACATATACAACGATATCAGAATAAAGTATTACGGAACATCTTTAACGCTCCATGGTACTTTAGAAACTGTGATCTTCATCGAGACCTCCAGATATATACAGTTATCCAGACAATAAGTAAGTTTGCCGAGAGTCATGAACAAAGGTCTCCAACCACGTGAACGTCGAGGCCATCAAACTCCTAGACAACGCCAACCAGATAAGAAGACTAAAGAGAACGAAGCCGTTTGATTTAGTACTATAAGTGAGTGAAAGTGAAAAAGCAGAGTAAAGTGCGGCTAAATTGTACACGTTAGCTAGTATTATTAGTATATAGTATTAGTTTCTTGTAATATTTATATATAGAACTAACTTGCTTATTGATCATAGTAAATGATCAGATAGCAATAGTCATAATATTCCTGTTGGAGTTTTATTAATCAAAAAATATTCCATATGTGTATGGAATAATATTAATATATTGGAATATGGAAATAATATTAATCAACACGAGTTGCGCTTTGTGAGCAGGTCAAGATCCATAACGGATTATCGATCCACTTATGATGATGATGATGTTAGCATATGCCGTTGGCTCTGGTTTGGTAATAACAATATTTCTCAAAGAATCTAAAAGTAATAGAACTAGAAGCAATATGTCAAGTCAGTCAGAAACTAGTCTCGTATGTACTAGATCGTTCGATAAGTTTGTAAAAGGAATTAAAATTCCTAATTAGTGCCAAAAATTAAAAAAACAATAATCCAAATATATAACGTAAAATACTACAAAACCCCACTGATGGGGTCGGACTATTAGAAGTAGGGTCTACATATCTATCTAATTAGCCTTCTTTGGTCCATCTTTGGACATAGGCCTTCCCAATCCCTTTCCATTCTTCTCTATCTGTCGCTAAAGTCGTCTATCTAGAGCCCACGTGCTTCTTGATATCGTCTGTCTATCTCATTTGGGGCTTCCTCTGCTTTGTTTATATTTCCTCGGTCTTTAACTTGAAGAAGAAGAATTTTGTTGCATCGGTCTTCTTTTTTTTATATTGTGTCCGGCAAATCTCCATTTTAATTTTTACTGTTTCTTTTTCTGATGTAATCATCGTTGCTGTAATTATGTTATCTATTTCGTCTATATCTTTATCATCACTGTCTAATTTTTGGGTAAGTTGTTCTTTTAATGTCTTTTTAAAGTCTTTTATATCTCTTTATATTGCCCTAGTTTGTTTCTATCTACTAGATCCCAGTTTCTAATTATTTTTCTTTTCATGTCATAATTACCGTCAATACGTATTTTTGCTCTGACCATCCTGTGATCGCTACCTGTTGTGAATCTATTAAGAACTGTTACATCTTTAATGATATATCGTTCCGTGGACAGTATGTAGTCGATATCTTTTTTTTGTAGATCCATTAGGGCTGATTCATGTCCATTTTCGTTAGGGCTTCTTTTTGTAAAAGGAGTTCATTGCGAATAGATGTTTTTCTTTTCTAGGTAGTTCATCAAAGTAGCACTTTTATCATTTCTCTGACCATACCCGAAATCTCCTATTATAGTTTCTTCTTTGTTTAGTTTTGTACCCAGTTTGGCATTGAAATCTCCAATTACTAGTATAAGACGATTTTTATGTTCTTACATAGCCTTTGATATATCTTCATAAAATATAGCTTTATTTATTATAAATCCTACTCCAAATTTACTATTTTTTTATTTCCTTTATAATATAGTAGATTACCGCATTTACAGAAGTTGGGTAAAAACCTTAAAAATTCAGGTATACGAGATATCAGGGATAAAATTGGTCACTGGAGGTTGAAAAATATGGTCCTGAGGTCCCAAAAGGAACCCACGTCGTTGCTTAAGGGTAAGTAGAAGTTAAAATGTAAAAGTTATGATAGACCTGTTTTTGTATTATGACGTATTTGATTTTTTTATGACATTTTTTACAAAAAAATAAGTACGAAATCATGGCCCACGTGACTAGGTTATAAAATGGTAAGCGTATGAGGTGTTGAATGTGTCTATTAAGTATTATCTTTAAGTTGTTTATATTTTCATGAAATTTCTTGCAAAAATAGTCACGAGATCATGTCTTGTACGTAACATTTTTAATCACTAAAGATATGTGGCTACTATATAAGCGACTGAAAATGTTTGTTGTATTTACTTTTTTTGGGTCAATTTTACAAATCCACTAAATTTGCTATGGGTAGTCTAAGATGGAATATTGTACTGTTGGTTTGTATTTTAGTGCTCAAAAGTAATATCGCTGATACAGGTAAAAATATTATTAATGTTATTTATGCTTACAGTCTTCAAACAAATAAACAGTATTAAAAGTCGACATTGCATTTATTTTTTAATTTACTTAACTTATATATTTAAAAATGTGCACCTTGACTGCGCAAATAAGAACGATTTTCCAGATGATCTTACAGATTTAAACAAAGCGATTGTTGCATTTATTAAAATAGTTTATAATATTTTGTCGCACTGATCCAATATTTGCTAGAGCAACTTCTTACTGCTTCCTTTGGCATACGCTTTTACTATCTGTCTATCCGTGTAAGCGGAAATACTACTTTAATACAAACAATTTTTTTAGTTACAATTAAAATTTGCATAACAGTTTAAAATAAATATCTTATATACATCGAAATATTTTATTTGTACGATAAACTACACCTATTTTAAATATATTTATACTCCTATTAATTTGAAATTGTGCAACTATGCAACTTACTCTGGATTTTGTACACTTTTAGGTAAAAATCTGCGAATAATAGGAGGAACAAAGGCAAAAATAGAAGACCACCCATGGATGGTTTCTTTTTTGAATGCTTCTAATCATCATAACTGCGGTGGATCTCTTATAAATGAAGACACTGTTATCAGCGCTGCACATTGTTTTGAGGACGACGAGATCAAGTAAGTTTTTTAAGACTAAGAATGAACTTAAACGTATAATCCAGTTTATATAGATATAAGTGATGAATCCTACCGCTATTTTATAGAAATTCAAATAATTCAAATTAATAATAGGAAGACAGACTATACCTACCACTTCACCTTTTAGAACATAATCATTCTTTTAATGATTTCAAATTCTTCACATCCATATTAAACGCTTTAAGCTAACTTTTTTAGAATCTATGGAAATTAAGAAATTAAAAATCACAGACATAATTTTGAATGACCAATTCGAGACAAACATTTCTCCCCTCCTCAACCTATTTCGTTAAAGACTTTAAATTGTAAACACATCCAAAAATAGATCACTTGAGAAAAGCATTCTGCCGAAATAGCTGTAGTAATAAAATATTATACCTAATAAATTTTGTGGAAGTTTTGAAAACAAATGTTGAATTCAACAACATAATTTAATATAATCTTTGATAACAATAAACATATATATAATTCTATTAAGTAAAAAGTGTATTGGGTAAAGGTAAAAAGCAATCGTAAACGTAATTTCTGTCTATTTGGTCATCATCAGTATGGAGTTAATTAACTTGAAATGAAATCTACAAGAGCCAAGTGCCCAATTGTAGCAGTATCGTCACAAGTCGCTGCTTTCCAGCCTAGTGAATCTTCAACAAAGCTGCGGAGAAAGAGGTAACGATCACTCAGGAGCAGTATTATCAGTTGTGTCAATAATGTGTACACGTCTAAAAAATAAAAATGATGATGTTAATTAATGCGAAACATAAATGGGAAAAAAGCCATTGGCAAAAAAGGATCTAACTGTATTGCCTGTACTGCCCACAATTGGTCACATGGCTGCTGTAGATCCGTTCACAAGTTATCCGTACTAATGACGATAAAATAGTCAAAAATACGTTTTTACGGTTACCTTTCACCTTCATCCATTTTCTTTTCTACTAAGCTACGAGTTTAGTCAATGATTTTTTTCTTATTTATGTTATACTAGTTTCGCATTAATCGTAATGCCTTTTTGTTTTTAAAACGTTTCGGCTTTTCTTTACTTGTGTAGCACAATCATTCGTGGCTATGTTAGTTGTAGCTCTAGAACGGTAGGATATTCGACATTATTGCCACAATTGGTAACACTGCTCCTGACTGATTATTTCCTCAGGTAGTTGTAGCTTGCTCCGTGGTTGTGTTGGAGTCGTTAGGTCTTGTTTCATTTTATTTTTAGTCAGGTCTTAACTTATTACACATTTTTAGGTACGCTGTAGTTGGGGTTTCTAATTTGAAACATAACAAAATTTTCATACCATTAAAAAAAAAGGCTAAGCTGCATGAGAAATACGACCCCCGAAGTTATAATGTCGAATATGATATAGCAATTGTTAAGGTTGGTAGTCCTAAAAATAATACAATATAGCTTGTCTAAGCTTCGATAATAAAATTTTCACTTTGTATTATTTACCTATATATCATATTTTACCAAAATTGGTTAGGTACTGTATTTTTTTATTTTCTTTTTTCCTAATCTTCAGAAATGGCATAAAATTTTTTAAAATAGTATTTTACATTTTGGTGATATATGGTATACAACCCACTACTGGAAATTAACTTTTTCTTGTAGATTTTACAATTTATTTTATTTATTTCTCTACAATTTTTTTTTTAATTATGTATAAAAACGATCAATGAGTGTTGTATATTACTTGATTTTAATTCTGCATACATAGGTATATTTATTATGTAATTTTATTATGTGTCTTTATTTATTACACGTATAATTTCATATTATCAATATTTAATTTAAAATGTAAATATATGTCGTGCTATGTTTAGCATGAGGGTGAATCCAATAGAGGTGACAATGAGATTGGTGGCCATCTTTAACTTTTTACAGAGTCTACAAACTACAGTAATAGTAGAGAAGAAAATTAATGTTATTTTCTTTTCGGATAATTGTTGTGGGAACAGAAAACCCGCTTTTTAATTCCCCTATACATGTACACCGTGAAAAAGTGGCCTGGTATTAACACCATCATCAGCTGTTTTGAGTCCACTGCTGGACATAGGCCTCCCGTAAAGTATGCCAATACATTATATCTCGAGCACCATGAATCTAATTGTGTTGAATGCACTTGATGTCATCTAACCACCTTGTTGGAGGAAGTCCTCGATTACGATAAACATCGTACCTAGATCTCCATCCCAAAATTTTCTTCTTCCACCTTCCATCTTTTAATCTAGCAACATACCCCGCAAAGTTCTATTTCAATATTTTACTCCTTTAAACTGCGTCAGTAACATAAGTTTTTCTCCTAACTATTGTATTTGATATCAGATAAGGGATATATTCAGCATTGACCTCTCTATCGGACTTTTCTGGTAAGGGTCAATGTTTCTGCACAATACGTTAGAAATGGAAGTATAAAATTGACACAGATATTCCTTTTCAAGCACATAGAAATCTCTGATCTAAAGACTTCTCTCAGTTTTCCGAAGTCCGCCCATGGGAATCCGCACATGGGAATATCTGATCTAAAGACTTCTCTTAGTTTTCCGTAATCCGCCCATGCCAGTCCTATTCTCCTGTTTAGCTCCGTTGTTTAATTATCTCTTCCTAATTTAATCTCGTGACCTAGATATTTATAGCTATACACCTGTTCAATTTGCGTGCCGTAAGTTAAGATGTTTTTAGCCAGTACCTTGTACACGAGCACTGAAGGTCTTGAAGAAGCGGCAGGCATGATCTATCCGATCTGCAATATGGACTATGTCGTCTGTAAATCTCAAGTTGTTCAGAAACTCTCCATTTATGTTGACTCCAACATTATCCCAATTATTGTTTCTCATAGCACTCTGCAACATGGCGGTGAATAGCCTAGGAGAGATTAACACTACATCATTACCACATAAATTCCTCATAAAGGGACATAACCAGAATAACGGCGATTCAGCCCGTTATCTAATTTAAAAAAGTATAGAAAAAACATATATTTGTGTAGCATAAAAATAAACTAAACGCCGAGATCGGGGTTTGAACTCAATTTTAACTAACCGGCTAGGATATCTTCACTTCTTTTTAGAGTGCCGCCTTCCTACGGAGGTTGGCAATCATAATGGCTATTTTTATTTTAGAACTTGCTGCTCTAAGCAAATCAATCGATCTGCATTGATACCACGTAGATTCTTTAACCATGAGTTCTGCCTTCGGCCAACAGATCTTCTTCCTTGAATCTTTCCCTGTATTATTAGTCTCCAGTTTCCAGTTTTCTGGTTTGTATAGCGGTGATTAGTTCTGTTTTTTTACAAACCTTCTTCAGTACTTCTTTCTTTGTAATTATATAAATTTATGATATTTTTAATTCTCTGCGGTATAACCAGAGTTCCAAACCATTGATTATTTTTAAACTGATAAGAAACTAAGATAAGAATTTTTCGTTATTATCCCGCTCCGATATTATTGAGTGTGTTTTGGAAAATTTCTTTGGAATATAATTTAAACAAAACTGGCCATAAAACACATCCCTGTCTAACACATCGGCAGATCTTTATTTCTTTTGAGCGTTGCCCATCAATTTGAACTATGGCACTTTGGTTTCAATAAATTTTTGCACTATCCAACATCCCGACATCGCTGAATAAATATGTTGATGGCAAATAGTCCTTCTCGAGTACCCTTTCCATTTCGGAACCCGAACAGCGTCTCGCTAATATCCTTCTCTAGCCCTTCGTATATTCTCTTATGTATTACTTTCAGCAGTACTTTTAAAGTACGACTCATCAGGCTCAGTGTTTGATAATCGGAGCACTCTTTTGCTGCTTGTTTTTTAGAGATGGTTACAAATGCTGACTTCAGCCACTCTTGTGGTAATATTCCCGTATCGTACACCGTGTTGAATAAATCTGCTAATACTTCCAAGTTATCTACTGGTATTTTATCTAATCCAACTGCCTTAATATCTTTAGAGGTTTTGATAGCATTTTTTATTATTTTCTGTCTCCCTAAAGGATTTAATTCTGATATTTTCTGCATTTCACCTCTTTCATCTTGGAAAAGTTTTCTGACGTACTCCTTCCATCGTATTAATTTCTCTGGTAAATATATTAGTAATACTCCTTTTTTGTCTTTTATGTGTCCTAGCTGTCTTTTTTGACCCATTCCAGTCACTTCTCTTATTTTTTGTGCATTTATGTATGCACAAAATATGCTCATATACTGTGTATATGAGCATAAGGGACATTTATCGATGTGCTTAATTATCTATCTACTGGCAGTGCAGGTACAATCCGATGTTGTCACTCTTCCCCATTTGAGGCCAGCGATATTGTAGGTGTAGTTTTCGAATCAGGTTCGTAGTTTTCATATAATTGTTGGTTCCAGTACGGATCCTGCTATTTTATAAAGTTATAGGTATTGAATTACCAAATTAGAAGTGCTAAGATTTCTTGGTTGACAAAATCCAAAATTCAGAGTTAACAAAGAAATTTTTGCATTTCTACTTTGGTGTTTTATTCTCAAATGTCGCTATAGCGTCCATATTGAAGCCATTTTAATATTGCTTCTTTTGACAGCAAATATTTAGTTTCACTTCTGTACCAGTCGCTTTGATGAATGCTGGTAGGATGAAATATGTATAGGCAAATTTTGAGACGTAGGTACTATACGAAAAATCCAATCTTAACTGCCTCTTCTTTTAGAGTTATTGCTTTGCTTGCTAAGTTGTTAAGCTGTGAGTACGGGTGCTATTATTGATTTAATATAGTACACCGCAGCTAAAGAAATTCTTCTATGATTGTTTATTTTAGTTTAGCTTAATATATCTTTAAATTTATGCAATAAAGTCTTACTTTCAGAAAATCAAGGTATAGTAGATTACGTAGCACTGGCAGCCAGTGTGTAGGTGTCAATTTAATCATATTGGACGGCTAACAGTCAAGGAATTTTATACAATAAACAACGACGCATAAGTCAGCACTGTCCAGCTATAGATATCTGGTCAAAGAAGTAAGAGATAAAGTCCAAAAAGCAAATAGATTGGCAAGATGACGTAATTACAGTATTTGGCGAATCCGACAGATTAACACCAAGATGATATCAAAAATTCATGTTGTTCTTTTGCTGGACAATAAACTTAATTAATTACTATATAACTGAGAATAAGCCACAATTAAAGATAAAAATACGTTTATTGACGTTTCAATTTCCACTTCGGAAATCGTTCTCAAAATACAAACAGTAAATTAAACAAATTTTTTTTTTTATTACATAGTGAAAAAATCTTCTAATAATTTAATTTTATCTGACTCATTTATATTGACAATTCAGACATACATTATGCAGTTTAAAGTAGACGACTTTAAAATGATATTGCCAATATTGTTGAGTTGCGCTCCTGGGACGACTTGACTTAAGATAAGATAGTTCATTCGATTACATGAAATCAACTTTAACTTGAGAATATCTGTCAGAAAAAATCATAGCATATAATTCGTCTTTCAAAAGACAAACACATGACATGATGACAGTAAAATTCTCCTGTTAGTAATTTCATAGCAAATTATGAGGGAAAAACCAGGAAAAAAACCTCATAATACTATCCAGACATGGTAAGTATTTGTTCGTGCATTTAGTTTACCTTCAATAAACACCAAAATTCTGATTTTATATGTTTCGTTATTTAAAAAACATAAATGATGTATCCTCTATATGTTACTAACTGACTAATACTGGCATTTTCTTATTAATAACTTATTCTTTCAATATTGGTAACCAGATCCTACTACATTCTGCCGAGGAATTTGTGACACAATTGGCCTCATTTAGCATAATTAAAGCCGCTTCTTTGATTTTTTTTTACCATCCGTCTCTTTTAGGACTACTAAAATTTAAAGTCGTCTACTTTAAAATGCATAATGTATGTCTGAATTGTCAATATAAATGAGTCAGATAAAATTAAATTATTAGAAGAATTTTTCACTATGTAACAAAAAAAAAATGTTTAATTTACTGTTTGTATTTTGAGAACGATTTCCGAAATGGAAATTGAAACGTCAATAAACGTATTTTTATCTTTAATTGTGGCGTATTCCCAGTTAAATAGTAATTAATTTAAAATGCCACAAGAAAATAGCTTCAGAACAATAATAAACTTAATGTAAATAATATAATGTTATGTAAAATGATCTATCGGCAATTTAATTTGTAATTTCCATTATTCTTTTCTCCCTACCTATGATAAGTTTTTTTCAACTTTAGTTGAATTTTTATGGCCCTAAAGATAACACTAGAATTTTTTTAAACAAATTATTTTAAAAAATCTATTAATTTTAGTTGCCAAACAAAGTTGTATTTTCGTCCAAGATTCAACCCATACGTCTACCAAAACACGACCTTCACGTACCAAATGGTACACCAGTTATTGCTGCGGGTTGGGGACGGACAATTGAAGAGGTAAATATATTAGTCTATACATAAATTTTAAAAATGTGTTGCAATTGATCAACTGTCAATCAACTGTCGCCGTAATAATCAAAAACAATGAAGCAGAATGATAATTAGAATTATTAAAATTGGGGATATAAAATAAATTAATTCTTAATGAATAGGTACACAAATAAAAAAGAAAACAGTTATAATCAGGAATATTTATCTATATAAAAAGCTAGGACTCTTTGTCACACTGTTTGTCCGGTAGGCTAACTACGCCACCTAGGAAACAAATTTGTACCACCAACATCTTACATTTCAATCACATTTTCTTCTTGAAACGATACGATTAAATTATTGCTAAATCATTATACAACTTGATTTAAATATTATTTAATTTTTTATTAATTTTTTCGCAAAAATTGTTAAAAATATAGGTTACTGTAATTTTGAGGTCTTCTTCTTTAAGTGTCATCTCCCAATCGAAGGTTGGATATCATCATCACTATCTTTACTTCATCTACTGCTGTTCTAAGGCCCGCCGCAAATTGAGCACAGCCCACGCACATCCCACGCGCAGCCCACGCGCAGCCCACGCATAGGTTATTTTGTAAAACGTGATTTTAGACGGAGCGACGCATATTAAACACAAACCACGGCCAGGCTACTGGCTACTGCCAGACTTGGTTGGCGTGGGAGTTGTGCTAGCAACACAGTTTCGTGGGTCGTGGGTCTCTACTTAACCTTAGTTATTTTGTTTTGTGTGACCAATTTTTTGTTATTCAGTGAAAATGGAATAGTTTATTGAAATTGTTCGAAGTTTTAGTGTCTTGTATGATACTAGTAATGAAGATTACATGAAAACAAAACTAATATTTTCTTTATTTGTGCTAAGCGACTCGGATGTAAGTCGCCGTTATAATTATTCAAAAAATAATAATTTAAATTAATTTTTTATTAAATCAAATGAGAAATATAACAGATCGAGAACTAAGGAAAAAAAAAACAAATTTTCATTTCCTAGCAAAATGTTTATGAACACCTAAGATGAAAGCTTCAAAATAAAATTTGATGGTACTTTTTCGTGATGCTCATATTGTAATGGCATTTATACACTGAAATTAAATTAAAAAAGAACATGAAGAAAGTAGAAAAATAATAAAAAATTCTCAAATTTAAATTTATCTCGAAAACAAAATACGATCTGTAATTTTTGTATTTTTTTAGCTCTTCTGTTGTTTATTACGTTATTTCACTTATTTCAACAATACTCTGTAAAATCTGCCTGGTATGCTAATTAGTAATTAGAAAGTCAATATCGGCAAAACCAGCTTATTCAAATTATGGGTATCTACCTGTTATAGTCTTTTGTTGAAGGATTTCAATTTTTTACCCTTAGCATTTGTAAAAGTTTTCAAGATATTTATATTTTCAGATTAGAAATTGTTAGTGGGATATTAGGTAAAAATTCAAAGGTCTTTAGAAAATAAAATCTTTATTTAAACTAATATACTGAAGACAGTCTATCTTTTCGTTGAATGGTATTTGCGAAAACAATCTCCTATGCATAGTCCCAGCTTTTTCGTCACAATCAGCACACTCGTAAATTGTGTTTTTCCTAATTTTATGGATAGAACATATTCTACACAAATATTTGACATGGGCGTGGGCTGTGTTCAATATGCGTTAGTATTGAAAAACATGTACTTGGACTAGGTTGGACCATACGTGGGCTGCACGTGGGATGTGCGTGGGCTGTGCTCCAATTTGCGCCGGGCCTAAAGAGTTCTATGGAACTGCATTTAAACCAGTCCCTTAAATTCTTCAACCGTCGACACTCTCCTTCTTCCTATACTCCTTTCTCCTCTTATCTTTCCCTGTATTATCAGCCTTAGCAGATCATATCGCTGTCTCCTCATTACGTGTCCCAGATATTGTAACTTTTTTATTTTTATTGTGTTTATTATTTAGCTTTCTTTGCCCATTTCCCGCAATACTTCCGTGTTAGTTTTCTTCTGTGTCCATGCTATTCTAAGCATCCTCCTGTAACACCACATTTGAAAGGACTGTAACTTATTAATGTGTTCTTGCTTCAATGTCCAGCTTTTAAGTCCATATTGCAGTATCGACAACACGTAGCATCTCAGTACTCTTAATCTCAGTTCTAATCTAAGATCTTTGTTGCACAGAATTGTTTTCATTTATACAAAGGCATTTCTTGCTATTTCTATCTTAGCTCGTATTTCGGTTGTTTGATCATTATTGTCTGAAATCCAGGTTCCTAGGTATTTTTATTTAACAACCCTTTCTATCGGTACATTTCCCAAATGTATGTTTGTTGGTATATTTGTATTTGGTCTTTTTTATATTCATTTTTAGTCCATATTTTTCACAGAAACTCTTTGTTTTGTTTAGCAGTAATTGGAGTTGTTCAGCAGAGCTTGCCATATTCACGGTGTCATCTGCATATCTTGTTGTAACTATTGTTAATAGATCTTTCGTTAATTTTTATTCCTTAATTTTGAGATAGTAATGCTTTTATGCTGACAAATGTGGCAGTCCTTGAAAGAGCAAATGCTGCTCGCGAGCTGCTTGATAACATCAAATGTAGAAAGATGGCCTATTTTGGACACGTAGTAAGGGGAGACCGATATAATATTCTTCAACTTATTATGATGGGTAAAATCGAAGGACGCAGAGGAATTGGTAGAAAGCAGGCCTCTTGGTTGAAGAATATCAGGGAGTGGACAGGAATAAAGAAAGCTGAGCAACTATTTAGAATAGCTCGAGACAGAGACAGTTTCGCCATGTTAATCGCCAACGTCAAGGGGACTTGATAGGGCACGTTAAGAAGAAGAATGCTTTTTCAAAAATGGATTCATAAAGAATTTAAATGTGTGGTATTATTATAAAAAATATAATAATTGAGTAATAAGCAGACGTAAAATTTCAGTAACTCACATAGTAATTACGCGCTATATAAAGGGTGAGTCATTTAGAGATACTTTTTTCAACAAGAAGAAATAATGAAAAAAATAAATTGTATTTAAAAATATTTATTATAGTAGAGAAGAAAATTAATGTTATTTTCTTTTCGGATAATTGTTGTGGGAACAGAAAAAACCGCTTTTTAATTCCCCTATACATGTACACCGTGAAAAAGTTGCCTGGTATTAACACCATCATCAGCTGTTTTAAGTCCACTGCTGGACATAGGCTTCCCGTAAAGTATGCCAATACATTATATCTCGAGCACCATGAATCTAGTTGTGTTGAATGCACTTGATGTCATCTAACCACCTTGTTGGAGGAAGTCCTCGATTACGATAAACATCGTACCTAGGTCTCCATCCCAAAATTTTCTTCTTCCACCTTCCATCTTTTAATCTAGCAACATACCCCGCAAAGTTCTATTTCAATATTTTACTCCTTTAAATTGCGTCAGTAACACCAGTTTTTCTCCTAACTATTGTATTTGATATCAGATCAGGGATATATTCAGCATTGACCTCTCTATCGGACTTTTCTGGTAAGTGTCAATGTTTCTGCTCAATACGTTAGAACTGGAAGTATACAATTTTCAAGCACATGGAAATATCTGATCTAAAGTCTTCTCTCAGTTTTCCGTAGTCCGCCCATGGGAATCTGCACATGGGAATATCTGATCTAAAGACTTCTCTTAGTTTTCCGTAATCCGCCGCCCATGCCAGTCCTATTCTCCTGTTTAGCTCCGTTGTTTAATTATCTCTTCCTAATTTAATCTTGTGACCTAGATATTTTATAGCTATACACCTGTTCAATTTGCGTGCCGTTAGTTGAGATGTTTTTCGCCAGTACTGTGTACACGAGCACTGAAGGTCTTGAAGACGCGTCAGACTGTGTCGTCTGCAAATCTCAAGTTGTTTAGAAACTCTTCATTTATATTGACTCCAACATTATCCCAATTATTGTTTCTCATAGCACTCTGCAACATGGCGGTGAATAGCCTAGGAGAGATTAACACTAACATCATTACCACATAAATTCCTCATAAAGGGACATACCCAGAATGAGGGCGATTCAGCCCGTTATCTAATTTAAAGAAGTATAGAGAAAACATATATTTATGTAGCATAAAAATAAACTAAACGCCGATATCGGGGTTTTGAGCTCAATTTTAAAACCGGCTATGATATCTCCATTTCTTTTTAGAGTTATGTCTTCCTACTGAGGTTGGCAATCATAATGGCTATTTTTATTTTAGAACTTGCTGCTCTAAGCAAATCAATTGATCTGCATTGATACCACGTAGATTCTTTAAACCATGAGTTCTGCCTTCGGCCAACAAATCTTCTTTTCCAGTTTTCTTTCTTTGTAATTATATAAATTTATATTTTTAATTCTCTGGGGTATAACCAGAGTTCGAAACCATTGATTATTTTTAAACTGCATTTTTTTAATATCCAAGTCTCAGCTCTATATAATAATATTGAAAATATATAACAGCAAATGTTACGTAGTCTTATCTCCAAATTGAAATTTTTGCACGTTAGGAGTGGTTTCATTCATATAAATGCTGATCTGGCAATCTCTATTCGCCTGGTTATTTCTACAATATGACCATTAGTTTATAAGGGACATTTATCGATGTGCTTAATTATCTATCTACTGGCAGTGCAGGTACAATCCGATGTTGTCACTCTTCCCCATTTGAGGCCAGCGATATTGTAGGTGTAGTTTTCAAACCAGGTTCGTAGTTTTCATATAATTGTTGGTTTCAGTACGGATCCTGCTATTTTATAAAGTTATAGGTATTGAATTACCAAATTAGGAGTGCGAAGATTTCTTGGTTGACAAAATCCAAAATTCAGATTTAATTAAGAAATTTTTGCATTTCTACTTTGGTGTTTTATTCTCAAATGTCGCTATAGCTATAACTCACATAGTAATTACGCGCTATATAAAGGGTGATTCATTTAGAGATACTTTTTTCAACAAGAAAAAATAATGAAAAAAATAAATTGTATTTAAAAATATTTATTATCATATGAAAAAACCATTCCCTATAATTATTTCATGGAGATGATTTCTTTTAAATGTTGGTCATGACTACGATTAAGTTGGTTCATTCTGAAATTCTTGATGACTCGTTTCAGCATTTCGATTGGTATTTCACCAATGACTCGAGTAATATTGGTCTCGACTGCGTCAATCCTATTTGGTTTATTCAGATAGACTTTGGACTTTAGATAGCTCCAAAAGAAAGAGTCTAGAGGTGAGATGTCACAGGATCTAGGCGGCCAAGTCACTGGTCTAAAGCGTGAAATAATTTGTTCACTGAATCGTTCTCGCAGTAAAGCCATGCTTTCATGGGCTGTATGGCAAGTGTTGTTGGAACTTGTTGGAACCAAATTTTAGGTACCAAATAGTCCGTTATTATGGCACTAAAACGGTCTCTATTCACAGTAAGATTCTAGCCGGCCTCTGTTTTAAAGAAATATGGACCAACGATTCCACCAACCCATATACCATACCAAACAGTTATTTTTTCAGGGTGTAATGGCTTTTCTTGAACCTCTTTAAGTTGTTCATCACCCTAAATACGGGCATTTTGTTTATTAACGTAGAGGAAAGGATGCAAATATGGGCTACCCATTTTGTATTTCTTTGTAAAAAAAGAATAAAAATTCTATTTCAATTCCAAAGGTACGTAAGAATACCTATATTTAGTAACTTATAACCTGCCCAAAGTTCAAATTGATTAAAAAATATATAACTGTTTTAAACGTACAAGTAATGAAAAATTTTACTTTTGCGTCGTTTGAATAATGATCCTAAATATGGGCTACCCCGAAAAATATGTCTTAAATTTGTGTGAAATGAAATAAACGCGTGAAAAATATATTTTAATACCTAAAATACAAACAATATATCTAATAACTCATAGACAATGACGCGTGTGTTTCTTTTTTTACTGGGAGAAAATCTATTTGCAAAAGTCACACACATATTCTTCTTTTCGGCTCCAGCGCACTCGTTATGTGCCACAAATGGCACATGAAGCACTTGACCCAAATTTACCAAGATTAATCTCTAAAAAAAGTGCTTCGCAAAACATACACGTTACGTGACTTGCGTCTTGTGTAGGCTGTGTAGAAGGAAAACTCATTGTAATCGCTCTCATCATCTGCAGGCACATATTCCTCTTCATCGTCGCTACTAGAACCCGATTTCTTTTTTTGGTTCTTTGTGACTTTGATAATTTGGTTACGTTTTTCTTTTTTTTATTTCTTTTCCTTTTCTTTTTTCTCTTTGCCTTTTCCTACTTCGTTTTGCTTCCCTTTGTCTTTGTTGATAGATTGGATCTGTTCATTTTGTAAGGTGAAGAGGTTATCACTGAACACTTACTTGGCTTACGCCCACGATTGGAGGTTTTTTTTTTCAATAATGGTACAGGAGAAATATTATATGGTGTTGCCAGAGATGTTCTTGAAGACCCAGATGTGGAAGGAATTAATGAAATGGGCTTATTTTCAAAAAGTTTTCTTTTTGCACCAAAGCTCTGCACAAGGTCTTCCGGAAGACGTGGCAGACTTTATGTAAAAGCTTGTTTTGGGAATAGCGACCAGCTGTGAACTAGTTGCAGAAATAGCATTAAGCTGTGTGTTACTTGTAGGAATAGTTTCAAGCTGCTTATTAGGCCCAGATGGAAGAGTGGGAGAATCAGATGATAAATTATTAGTGACGCAATTGGTGAGATTCGTCAGAAGGTCAATGCAGCGGTTGAAACGCGTCACTATCAACCTATCACTCGCATCAAGTGCGGCTGTCAGTATTTGCTTCAATTCAGGCCAGAAATCGACATCTGTAAATATGTTTTTATTCAAGGGATAAATCCATTAACGGCAATCTCTCCAGTTTGTCATTTCAAATAAGCTCTCCCAAAGAGCTCTGACACGTCAAATGCACTTAGTGGACGATTATTGTGGCGCAACCAGACCCGGATCTCTTCGCTGTAGTAAGCCTTAAGAACACGCATGTAAGTTTTGTCCAATGGCTGGAGATTGTGGGTGCAATGGGGAGGCAAGACAATTATAGTGACATGATTATCTCTAGCTAAATCTATGACATCTATATTACGTGTATGGCTGTAATGACCATCCATAATAAGCAGGATTGGTGATTTTTTTATAACTGAATATGATGTTCCCGTTGGTCGTCGTACTGATAGCTGTTTATGGCGTTGCAGGAAAAGCCTCAGCCAGTCTCTGCCTGTCGTATTACCTCCAAACGGATGTTTGGATATTGTTCCTGTAAGCTAAGACGTACGCCAACCTCCTAAGATCTTGTCTGGTTAATCCATGAAATTTAGCTTCCATTTCCAAAATATAACGCACTCACTCGTCCTCAAGATCATTCCCTAAGACAGCTTTACGCCCTAACTTTATTTGAGCAGCTTTGTACTTGAGGATAAATCAGAACTACCAAAGAGGCAGAACTGCTGACTACCTGAAGCAAGTCTAAACAGACACTTTTATTACTTATGCGACAAGCTAAAAAACTTTAATCGTAAAGCGAATTGTATGTTCGGTAGGCCGATTATTTGGACCATAAATTGCTCTAAGCGCACGAAACACATTCGTCACAGAACTCCATTTTTAAAATACAGCTTTATAATGACTTGACGCTGCGCTGTGCTGGGTTAAGTCTTTCCATCATGAAATGCCAAACAATACTGAACAAAAGCGAAATGTCAGTTTGACAATGTTCATTCACGTTCTCCAATTAAATCCATACCAAAAAAGTACCTCTAAATGAATCCCCCTTTATTATATAAAATGATCTATATTTTCAATATAGATCATTTAAAACGGTTTAGATGAAAACTTTAAATTATTTTATTGCATTTATTTTCTAGATACCGATAGCATCCGACGATTTATTGGAAGTCAACATTAAGATCACTGACTGGCAAACATGTAAAGAACTTCTTCATGTTACAGAGAGAATGATATGTGCAGGAAATCTAAATGGGGGAAAAGGCGTATGCATGGTAATAAATTATTTTATTAAAATATAATTTTATATCGAGAAAAGGAGTACAACCGTAAATCCAATATAAATTAAGGATCACTCGAAGAGTGGTAAAAAATTATTTCAAATCCTTTATAAAAGGTGTATAATAAAATGCCCAAACAGGCTATCACAATTAAATTACAAAACGTTTTCGGATTGTTAAATCTATCATCAGTGCAAACCTGAAAGCAAATAACCACTTTAATTAAAAAAGAATCAAATCCAACAATCAAAAAAAGAAGAAAAATCAAATCCAACAATCTATTCATCAGTAAAGCTGACAAAGGTAACTGTTTAGTGATATTAGATCAATCTTCATACAATGATAAAGTTTCTACTTTCCTTAATAATAATAACTTCACTCCACTCACAACAGATCCCTCAAAAAAGTTTATAATTAAATTAAAAGATAACACCAAACATTTCACATATTTCTTCTCCGAACATTTTGCACCATATATACAAACTTCCAAGTAACCCTTTAACACCCAGACTGTATGGTTTACCTAAGATACACAAGGAGGGCATTCCTATTCGTCCAGTTGTTAGTTTAATAAACACACCAGTTTCCATCTTATCAAAATTCATATTGAATCTTATTAACAACATGACGATTTACCCTCGATTCTCAGTCAAAAATACTATTCATCTAGTCAACAACTTACAACAGATCAATCTTCACCCCAACGTTACTATGCTATCATTTGATGTCAGCAATCTATTTACCTCTGTCCCCAAACAAGAAACAATTAATCTGGTTCACTCTCTTCTAAGAAACAATTCCATCACCCAGTCTACTACTAACTCCATTATCCAACTATTACAACTTTGTTTAGACCAAGATTTTTTTGTTTTTAACAACAAATATTATAGACAATCTGATGGCTTAGCTATGGGTAGCTGTCTCTCCCCTCTATTAGCTGATGTATTTATGGATCATTTAGAATCCACACAGATTATGAAAAAATCCTGAAATACTCCATTGGTTTCGTTATGTTGATGACTGTTTAGTCTTCATTTCAGGTAACTCCAATTCAACTGAACTATTACTTTCTAAAATTAATCAAATTCACCCCAATATCAAGTTCACCATGGAACTAGAATCTTCCATGTCAATCAATTTTCTTGATCTCACCATTACCAGATTAAATGACCACTTCGACTTCAGTATCTATAGGAAACCCACACAGACTGACCATGTAATACCCTTCTCATCTAACACCCCATGTCTCATAAATATGCAGCTTTTCACAGTTACATCCATCGCCTGGAAACCATTCCACTTTCTCATTCAAACTACACAAAAGAACTAAATATTATCAGACAAATAGCAGTCAACAACGGTTATGATCATAACATCATCAATAAACTCATCTATAGAAAACGTCGTAGGAACCTGCAGGAGGCTGCGTTCCTAGGGGATCCTACCACCAAACCCAATTACGTTTCACTTCCTTATCATCATGAGAGTCTTTCTGGAGATATTAGA